AACACCTCAAGCAGTTCATTTCACTGCCGCAACAGATGCCTTTCAGCTTTCATAATACCCACGTATTCTTTGCGCATTGCATGCCATCTGCTCATGTAAAGAATGGTTACGATCAAACGGCTTGAGTGTGTACAACCCATTGTGCAATTAAAAAGGCGATTTCGTTTTGTTTTGTACCAAGAATCATAACAAAGAGGATAATGATGAGAATAATAGTAATGTTATCAAAAAATGATAAATAATAATGTTATCATTATTACTCTAATCATTATTATTAATATTATCATTAGTACTGTTATTGCTATTATTAAGGTAGTAATAAACGAGTTCGGGGTGGAGGGGGATGGAGAGGAGGCTTATATGATGTTAATGCGATCCGATGATTGTTGACATTCAAATGGTACGCATCACTAAACATTTATTCTCAAATCCAAAATTCAGTCTTCTGCACGAAGAAATAAAAACGTCTTATGATTATCCCCGCAATGAAACATCAAAACGTTCACATAAACCAAACAAGACATCATCATTTGATAAATTATTTAATGGGATAATCATTCAAAAGTTTCTAACTGAAAACACATCAAAGAACACAATACGTAAATAATCAATGAACAATAAGAAATATTATGAATGACATTTATCGGTGTCATTTTCATGATTTATGACTGTTATTAGGAGTGGAATATAAGGCATGTGACACCTTTGAAGGTTGATTCACAGTATGTTGACGATACAACATTGTAGCTGAGTGGTGACGTAGAGCATATCAGATTGATCTGATCTCGAGCCGCACCCGTCTCAAAGAATGCCTTATAGATTTTACTTCTGGACACTCCGGCGTTGCCTTCCACAATATTCTGAAACAAACAACACATAGAAGTCCAAGCACTCTCATTAATTTGTTATCAACCCGTTTTCATGCTAACATTTTTACTTTAGCTGAAAAGTCTACAAAACTAAAATTCTAACCGGTGCGAGAAGTTTGTTTTGTAGAGTTCTCAAGATGGAATGGATAACCACGCGAAGATAGGAGAATTTGAAAAGTACTTTTGATCTAATGAAATTTTCGAACCGCACACTCAACCAGTCTAATTCAATTTGGGAAAAAATTAACAGCTTGATCGTTTCATCGTCATAATTCATTTAGATGACCGCCAAACTCGCAACTGCGTTTCGACTTGCAACTAGTAAATTTGCTTCCCGTTGTATAAAATGTCCAACTCCTAGAGAAATCAGCTCACCTCATCGATGACTTTCCTCAGATCACCTCGATTGCACACGTCATCTGATGGATAGAGTTGTCTTGAGAAACGCCTATGCTCTGATTTACTAGTGCTGTGATGGTTGTGAGATCTGCCAGAATCTTCCGCTTCATCTTTTACACTGTGAGGTGCTACGGTAACTTTAAATTTTCATCAATAATATTCTCTAATGTAAATTTTTTTGAAACTAAATACTATAATACTAAATAAACACTAATAGTAAATAAACAATAATATTCTGTAAATGAAATAAATTCCATCAATGCTCTCTAAATTCATTAATATTCTTTGAAACTTCACGAATTTCTTATTGTAGATCATTTTAAGGAAGTGTAGCATATGTATATATCATGAGAAAATCCTTCGATGGTTCCAAAAAACAGCGCATTAAATTTTTTCTGTTACCATATTTGATATTCTCAACAAATTATTTGATATTGTTATTGTTGACTAGGAAGCACAGCTCTTCACTAATGAGTCTTCCATTTACTAAAACGAAACTGAGGCGCCACTCAGCTCGAATGGTATCATTGTTTTTGAGAATAGAGCGAACGCAACAAAAAAACGATCACATTAATGTGGTCGATCACAAATCACTTTAATGATTGTTCTCAAAGAGTGCAACACCGACTTACTTTNTTTTTTTTTGTATCTATGCAAATCCTAAGAGGCTGTGAGGTTCAATCATGATGAGCAATTAAACATTTTAATGAGGTTATCATATTAAATGCTAAGTACATGCAAAATGCCACATTTTCTTTGATTTTTAATATTCTAAATATTTTTTAATGAAAATATTTTTTTCCCACGAAAACATTTTGTAACTATTCCACTGCTGAATCTTACAATCATGAAGGGATGAGATTATGAAGAGCTATTCGAACGTACTGAAAAGGATTGGGACTATTATCATTTGAATCCTGGAACCCTGACTGACCTACCGATAAATCTATTCAGTTTTCTAAAAGAGACATGATCAGTCTGGCAGAATCGAAGTTTGAGTTATTACTGTTCTCTATCAGACTGATATGCCAGCAAATATGATCCATTAAATGAACACGTACATGGGCATGGTTCATCTTCGAAGCACGGCTCTCCAGCCATACAAAATCCCAAAAACACAGAAGTGCTTATCAGAATTGCTGCGAGCACTTGCATTGTACTGATTATTGTACTGACCAAAATTTCTTGTTTCAACAATGAAACAATCTGAAATGATATTATTTCCATGACAGAATTCTTGTTTGAAACTCAACATTCTATAAGAAGAAAGTGCAATTCAATAGCAGAATCCATCGAAATTGCATTCCCGTTCTTGCGCGATCACATTGTAGCACAATATCAGTGTGTGATTGCTTCGATAACATTCAAATATGATGTATCACAAGTCGTCAACAGTTAGTCTGCCTAAAGACATTTTGCTTAAAGACATATTGCCTAACGGACAGTTTGCCTAAGGAACAGTTTGCCTAACGGACAGT